TAGTTTTATATAGTTACGGAAATAATGTATTGGCTCGAACTAAACCAAGGTTAGTGGATTCTGATTCCAAATTTTTTTATTCTAAAAATAGTCCTTTTTAGTTGTCTTAAAAGATGGGTGATGGTTGGCATCATACTTTTTTGAATAATGCCTCCTATCTTTTGCGTCTTGATTGCTATACGAAGTTTTTCATATTTGAAACCCTTGATTTGGTTTTCAGCGTTTTACTATCTAGTTAAGATGCATTGGAGCGATTTCTTTTGTCCCTCAACGTTGGCTAGAACTTCTTATTGCTTTATATAATATTCTCGATTTAATCTCATTCTCCTAGCTTTGTTGTGTTTTAAAGGAACTTAGGAGGTAGATTGATTTGATTTCTTATCATCGAATCCTCTACTTTTTAATTTTTTTGTTTTCGAGAATTCTTTCATTTATTCTTCCTTATATATCAACACCAATATCGTACGATCCCTGTTTCAGCTGCATTCCTTTTTTGTTTCATAGTTAGTTTAACCCCGGTCCATCAGCTTACTCGCATTTTCAGGGAACTTAGGGGAACGTGTCGTCTACTGCGTACTTGGATAGTGTTGTTTTCTGTTTTTTCATCGTCAGCCCGTTGAGTGGCTATCTTACTGGATGTTAGGTTGGCATCGTAGTCTGCATCATCAATGAACAGCGCCGTACATGGCATTTAGCTGCGCTCCACTCGACACGGACGATTTTTTATTTAGTGCTTAGGATGACGCTGCTCATTGGTGATGCCAGCGTCCAGGGATGTACACTCTGGGTGTTGTGATATTTGTGGAACAAATGGTAACCAAGAAGCTCACGCATGTGTTGATCCAATATATTATTGAGTTTTGCCTTATTTATATTGTAAAGAATATATGCATTCTCTTTTCTTAATTATTGATTCCTTAGATAATTTATGTATAAGTGTTGGCTTGTACACTTCCTATGATATAGGAACCCGCTTCATAATAATATTCACATTTCTGCCTTTAATATTGCAATTTTGTCTTCCTGTCTGACAGAGGATTCATACGCCGATTGGTATCAGAAAATGGCCGCTTACTACAGCCATTTTTATCCTCAATATCAATCTGTGGGCCGTTTAGGCTTTGAACAGTCAATCGAGGTAACAAATGCAAATAAAATAGACTCAAATTCAAAGTCGAGTCGACTGCAGGGAGAGGTGGAGGCTTTTCCTAAACCTGTGGTCAGCTCTCCACAAGTGGCTACTACTAACGGAGTTGTTTCACAGGCAGCTTGGCCTTGTGGTGATTATCAATCACTCTATTACCAGTATTACCTGGCGGCTGCATCGCAACTCTGGGCCACAGCAGCTGGAGCCGCAGGCGGGCCACTCGCTTTCGGTCAGCTTGAAGACAGGCGACAAGAGAATCCGATCGGACAGGCCGCACTTGGCAGCTCTCTGCGGACAGAAGCCGGGATACGTATTACGGATCTGAGTATACCTCAACTTTTTACGACACCTCATATCCGGGCCAGCCTGCTCCCTCCAGGGTTATTGATGCAAGTGTGTGAATATTCACTTATACGGGCAAACATTTTATCCCATCAGGAGAGTTATTGTCTTTTGTTTAAGTGTTGAGACAACAACAGGGCATGAATATATGAAGACCAAGATGGTGTGGCCTTTTGTGTGGTCGGAGTCTTCTTTCGTTGTATAGAAGTTGTTTGACCTTGTTTTCGCAACTTAGTTATAATGGTAGGAAGACTTATATAAAACGCACCTTGTCCTGAGTCCATTGTATCCATAATTATTTCCAAAGTCGGACCGTGGACGTGGTACATTCCCAGACGTTTCGCCCGCATTGTAGTCTCTTTTACGAGTTGTAATATAGTGCTATGAATGGTAAAACTCACTGACGATGCTGGCGAAACGTCTGGGAATGTACTACGTCCACGGTCCGACTGGAAATAATTATGCATACAATGGACTCAGG